GCTGTGCCAATCCAAAACCAGGAGCCAGGAGCTTCCTCCAGGTTTCCCACGTGGGTGCAGGGTCCCAAAGCTTTGGGCTGTCCTCAACTGCTTTCCCAGGCCATAAGCAGGGAGCTAGATGGGAAGTGGAGCTGCTGAGATTAGAACCAACGCCCACATGGAATTAAACTGGCGTGTTCAAAGTGAGGACTTTAGCCGCTAGGCCACGCTGCCGGGCCCAGAAAAAAAAATCTTAAAAACAAAACTGAACTCAAACTAGGCACTCTAACATGACATGTGGGCATCCCAAGTAGGGGTTTAACTACTGACCTGGACATCTGCCTCTCTCTATAAACCCCTTTGTAAAACAGGGACGCACAGAACTCAATGACTCCATGCTAAAGCCTAGTATACATTAGCATATGTAGTGAGGAAGAGGAAAAATATTTTTTTAAAGATTTGTTATTTAAAAGGCAGATTTACAGAGAAGGAGAGGTAGAGAGAGAGGGATCCTCCAACCACTGATTCATTCCCAAAATGGCTCCAATGGCTAGACTTAGCCCTTCCGAAGCCAGGAGCCAGGAGCTTCTCCTGGCTCTCCCACATGGGCCCCAAGAACTTTTGCCTTCCCTCACTGCTTTCTCAGGCTTTTAGCAGGGAGCTAGGTTGGAAACAGAGCAGCCAGGACTGGAACTGGTACTCATGTGAGATGGAGGCCTAGTGTACTACAGCATAGTGCCACCCTGAGGGAGAATCTATATAGCATTTTGGAATTGTGTGATGTGTATAGTCAATCACATTTAATTAGTTTTTGGTGTGTTTAGTCTTAAGGATTATTTAAACAAACACAGAGAACATAGCTGGCTCAGCCTATAATAGTTAAAAACAAACAAACAAAAACCTTCCCATGCCCTAGTGGCTTTTCTTCCTAAAAACACAAACATAGAAACCAATACAATTATAAACCCCTGCAAATCTCAATCTTACTATCTATCTTCGAGTTTTTCCAGTTGAGATTGCATAATTAAAAAAAAAACTTTTACATAAAAGCCTACTATTTCTTTTTCTTTTCTTTTTTCTTAAGATTTGTTTATTTTCATTAGAAAGGTAGATTTAGAGAGAAGGAAATAAAGAGAGGAAGATCTTCCATTCACTGGTTCACTCCCCAAGTGGCCACAACGGCCAGAGCTGAGCTGACCTGAAGCCAGCAGCAGCAGCAGCTATTTTGAGGCCTCCCACACAGGTGCAGGATTCCTCGACTGCTTTCCCGGCCATAAGCAGGGAGCAGGATGCGACATGGAGCAGCCAGACATGAACAAGTGCCCATTTGGGATCCTGACATGTGCAGGATGAGGATTTAGCCACTGAGCTATGGTGCAGAGCCCAGTGCACTGTTTATTCTTCTATCCAAAGGAAATCTTCATAAAAATTGTGTGAAAATGTATATGTAATAATATGTGGAGGATTACTGAAAAACAACTTTCAATAAAATAATAATTTACTTCAATAGACATCCTAGCCAAAATTAAATTTTCTTGTCTCCAGAGTAAAATAAAAATTGCAAGTTTGTACAATTTTTGTAACTGACATCTTTAAAAATTCCTTTGGCCAAAATCCTTTTTAGTCTGTTTTTATTTAGTCTGTTTTATTAAGTATTAATTTGAAAAGCAGAGGTATGGGGGAAAGGGAAGAAAAAGAGAAAGAGAGAGAGAGAATATGAATCTTACATCTGCTGGTTCAGTTCTTAGCTGGTTGCAGAGGCCAAAAAGCTGGGTCATTACGAAGTCGGAGTTAGTAACTCCAGGTCTCCCATGTGGGGGCAGGAGTCTGTGTACCTGGGCCATTTTCTGGTTTTCCTAGACTGTTTGGGACACTGGCCTTGTGGGTGATGGCTTTCCTAACCTTTCTATAGAATTGCCACTCCTCTGCCCTGCAAGGACTATTTTTCAATTCAGGTTGGCCTTTAACTAAACTGTATTTCATTTTCTGTTAATGGACATTTGTTATCTAACAGGTAAGGATCAGTATCTTACCTTTTTGATAATTTATAATAGGTATATAATTACCTTCTCACACGTGGAAAGATATAGAAGTTTCTTTGGGGGGAGGTGGGGAACCCTAGATAATGGAGTGAAAAACAACTTCTCATGACTTGAGATATAGTCTAGTACACCACTAGTTTGACTGAAAAGACTGGGTCCAAGCTTGATGCAAAAGGTCCTTCTCTCTTGTTCCTTTATTTTCAGACCTGTACAACTGTCCAGTGAATGTGGGACTAATGTATTAAGGTTCCCTCAAAGGTTTTACTCCAAAGGAATAAAATAATTGTGAAATGGAGTAAACAATTGAGAGAAAGGCTAAGAAGAGCAAAGAGTTTTCTCACATCTCAAATCTCAGCAAAGTTCTCTGCTGATGCTTTGTCTGTATGGCCCCATTCTTTCGCCTGTGGCTTCCCTTCAAAGGTCGGCTCTGAAGGCTGTCCCACACCTCCTCAGAGTCCAAGAGAGGATTGGTCTAGGAAGTATGGTCAGGTGCACTGTCCAATAGGATGACAAGGAACGCCCCAGAAGAGATTTGGGTCTATATCTTCCCTGCGAATTAGCTTGTAGGTGGTATTTGACTTTGCTTGTCAAAATACCGAGTTTAGAATTGTCAAAGGCTGGGATTGCCTGTGGGAGGCACAGAGACAAGCAGAGAAAAGCCCCTGTATGGAGGAAGGATGAGCTGCTCTAGGGGGAGAACTGAGTGGGCACTTGGCACTGGAACAGGACATAATATAATGCAAGCACCGGGGGCAGAGGAGGGAGTCCATTAATCTCGTTTGGCAAGTTGTATGGGTGGTTAGGGCCAGAGGTGCCACCCAAAGTCATTTGCTGTGTGTTTGTGTGATGATTCCTGATGGACACAAGTGCCAAGGTCCCATAAGAAGTTCATGTCTATGATTAAAATAGTAAACTGAATGATACAGTTTGGTGGTGGAGATGGCCTAAAAGTCCTGAGTTCATAGCTAGCACTGGAGGGCTGGGTGGTATTAGATGTCACCTAAGTGTTTAATCCTTTCACCAGAACCACTCCCCTGTTATAAAGGTGTATAGGTAAATATCCATTCATTCATTTACAGATGAGGAAACTGAAGCTAAGAAAGAGGATCAGTAACTTCCCCAAGGCTACACAGCTAGTAAGTGATTTAACTTTGGCTTCAAAGTTATGGTAAGCTGTAAAATAATTGTCTCAAATACAACATTAAGCCTGCTTCTCGCAATAGATTTTTTTTCCTCTCTAACCATTGGGATACTGGTTTCAACTCTTGACAAAACAGTGGGTTATAGATCTAGGTCTGGGTCCTCATGGTGCCCACCTGTTTCCTGACTGTCCAGGTCTGGGTCCTCGTGCTGCCCACATGTTTTCTGGACACTTAGGTGGGCGGAAGAAGAGGACTTCCGGTCAGTTCCTGGCTTGGGCATTCAATCTTTGAGACCAGTGCACTTACTTTCTTAGTACCTTCTATTTGAAGCACATATATGTCTCTGTAAAGTTGACTCCATAGCTCAAGACCGTAATCAGCAAATGCGTTTCTTTCATACCCGGAAACACACTTGGCTGAGTGTGTCTGTTTCTCACAACAGCGCTACAAGGCCAGATCTGAATGCTTCCGTTTTTATAGAAGAGGAAGCTAAGGCTTAGAAAGTTTTGGGTTATTCAAGGTCACACAGGGACAACCCTGTGCGTTTGACAGAAAACACACCCGTTATATGATGTCTAACGCCAAGTGAATGAGGGTGGCTAATTATATTTTAGGCCCAACGATCACGGACACTATTTTTTGTTTTCAACCAGCTCCCACTTCTTTTATGCGATCCATTAAGTCCTGTGTGTGGGAGGAGGTTAGTATTTTTAATGTGCCATGCCTCTCTCGGAGTCTAAATTTACAGCCAAGGGCAGCCAAAAAAGAAAGAAAAAAACACCGCACCAACTCCTCCGGCTTCACGTCACGCGCCGCCCGTCTCGCCCTCCTTCGGTTTGCTCCAACCGCCGTCTTCCTGTTCCGTTCTCCGTTGAACTACGTTTCCCAGCGGGCCGCGCGGCCCAGCGCGCGGGCTCCAGCGGCCCTTCCCTTCCTCTCTGCCGTCACCTGGGGTCGCAGCGTCATGATGCAGGCGCGTCGGGCGCTGACGAATGACGGCGTCCTGGCTCGCGACCGCGGCCTGAGGAGCGGCAATAGGCGCAACGGCGGCGGCGACTGCGGGCGACCCGGACGACTACGACGACGACGCGGCCGCCGACGCCGACGCCGGCGGGGCGGGCCCTGTGCGCCGACGGGAGGGGGAGGCGAGCGGCGGCGGCTCCGACTGCGGCAGCGCCCGGCGGGCTGACGGAAGGAGAACCTCGGGCCGCCGGCGTTCTGCCTAGGCCTCGGCGACGCCCGCGGCCGCGCGCGGCGTTCTCGGCGGCCCGATCTCCATAGAGACTGTGACATCCACAGAGGCGGGAGGCCGCTGCGGGGCCGGGCCTCGCGCTTCCCGGGGGGAGGGAGGGCCGCCCCGCGGTGTCGGACCGGGGCCGGGCGGTGCGGGAGGGGGGCGCCCGGCAGGCGGGGCCGCCTCTCGCCCTCCCCTGACCCGCCCCGAGAGCGGGAAAGGCGGCCGGGGCTCCGCCATGGCCTCGGGAGCCGGAGGAATGGGAGGGGGCGGTGGCGGCAAGATCCGGACGCGGCGTTGCCAGCACGGGCCGGTGAAGCCTTACCAGCAGGGGCGACCGCAGCATCAGGTAAGGGTCCGGGGGGACTCGGGTCCCCCCACGTGGACGGGGGGTCCCCGGGGCGGCGGGAGGCCAGGCCCGCTGCGGGCCGCCGACGGGAAGTGGACGCCGGGCGGGCGGCGCCCACGTGGGGCCATCCGATCCTCCTGTCCTCGGGCCCGGAGCGGGAAAGCAAAAATCCAGGCTTCACGAGTGCGCGCTCCCCCCCCCACCCCCCGTTCTTTTTCTCTTTTTCTTTCTTTTTTTTTTTTTTTTTTTTTTTTTTTACTTTTTGAGGGATTGAAGGGTTTGAGGGTTTTATGTTCTCTGGAGGGAAAAGAAGGATCTAGACGTGGCGAGAGCGGCCTTCCTGCTTGCTGCTTTTCGGATGTCCCGTTGGGAGTTTCGGGGACTGGGCCGGGGGTGCTGTGCCTCCCGCGCACGCGGGGCAACCGGGGCCGCACGGAAGGTGGAACTTGATGTTCACTGTGCCCCTCTGGGATCTCGGAGCCGGGCTTGGGGCTCCCTTCTTCCCGCTGGACCGGGTTCCAGTCCCCGTTTTGAAAGTCCCTCTCCACCCTTACGTCTCTCGCCCGCCGCGCTCCTCGGCCCTCCCCCCTCCAGATGGGAGGCTGGCATTGGCCGTCCTCCACGGTTGACCGGGAGCTCGGCTCTGAGCTCATGCTCCAAGTATTTTGGGGTTACGGCGCGGATCCCGCAAGTGAAGGGACTCGGGATACTGCGGGAACGTGGCTGGTTGGAGTTTCCTGAGTGTTTATGAACTGTAAAAAGTTGATCCCGAGTCTAAAAAATGGATTCTAACTGTAACGGAGACAGTGAGCCTGAGAAAATTGTTTTTTTTTTTTTTTTTTCTTTTCTTTTCTCCAGTGTTCACTTGTTTGCTGGAAGAACAGAGCAGGAAAATGCCGAAGGCCTATTTTAATAATAAAACTGTTGTTTTTCAGTGATAGTAAGGTTACAAATGTAAAATCTTATTTTTTACAAAGTAGAAGGGTATGGGAACTTGTTGCATAATCTTAAAGGTAGGCTGCTTACATTATTTTGGATGATAGTAAAGGATGAACGTACGCGCTGTGCTTGATGATCCTCAGATCGGAATCTTGGAAGTAAATATCAGAAAAGTTGGGGACTGTGTTAGGTAGTTCTGTGCTGATGGTTGCACAGGTTGGCATTACTCCCACCGGCTCTCCCAGGTATGCACAGAAATGCCTGGCTTTCCCATTTCTTTGTGAGGAACAGGGATGTTTCCAGGAGCATTGAGGATTACAATTCAGGTCACAAGTCTGGGTCTTTAACCTAAGCGAATCCTTTTGTGGAACGGAAGTTTGAGAACATGCTTTCTGTTTCTCCTGAGAATAAAATGCCTTCAGAGTGGTTTCTTAGATAGAAAACGTATTTGGCTTAGAAAAGTGAAATGTTTGGCATTTGGATCAGTGATTTGGACAGAGGTTAAAAATCAAGCTGTCAGAAGTTAAAATTACACCTTATTTTAGGATGTGTTTACCCAAACTAATTTTGGAGAAATAGTGCCTTAACCATGTAACTGCCTATGGTCCACGTTGTTGCTAATATTTCAGGCCACGTGGTGTTAAAATCTTACTGATTGGTCGTTGCCCTACATGTAAAACGTTTTTGGTCTTTTTATTTATTTAAAGAAAATGCTTTAGCACTTGAATTTTAAAATGTGATAGTTTTTAAAAATTCTTGCTGGAACTTCCTTGGATCTGCTCACTTTCTGCTATTCTAAGCTATCAGCGGCATATTTTGGAATAGTTGCTGAGTCATCATGAATAGCAGGGAGCTTCGTGACATGGCATGTTTCATAGTCATTGAGTGTCTGAGGGTTTTGTGGAAAAACTGAAGCTGTTTAGATGTGCAGTACGAGGTTGGAAGAAGAATGAGAGGTCTGGCCCTGGGAGCTGGTGGCTACCGGGCAGAGCCTGGGAGGCCGGGCTGACGGTGCAGGCACCCAGTGCTGCAACTGCTGTGTGTCAATTGACTTGTCATTTCCTGTTTTGACTTCTGATTTAGCTCTGCTGAGGTGTCTGGAGCTTTAAAATTTCTTCCTTTAATGTGTGACCTTTACATTGTCATTTTGCTTGAAGTTATGGAAATAAATCTGTGAGGTTACTCAACTAAATAATGAGTAACTGTTGATATGTTGGTAATCTTCTCCTGCCTTTTCCCCAACACCTTTATCTTTTGATCCAGATGCATTTAAGAAATGATGTGGGGGTTTTTTTGTTTGTATGTTTTTTCAAGTTGTGAGACTGTGGTTTGTTCTGTTCAGTCTGCTTTCGTGTGTATGTGAGTGAGAGAGAAAGAAAGAGAGAGAAGCTCAGAAAGACAACTCCGGGGAAAGGGTCAGACTGCTTCCTAGCTGCCGCATGGCCAGACAGTAGCTGCCACAGGCACACCAGACCCCTGCCTTCGGAAGAACCTACTGCCACCTCCTGGTCAGAAGAAATCGCTTGCTTTGCCCTTTTGGAGGGTGTATTTTAGATTTGTTTTCTACTTTGGAGTTGTAGAGTAAATCTCCCATCAGTACCTTAGATCAGAGGCTGGAAACGTTTTTCTTGTAAAGGGACAAATACTAAATCTTTAGGCTCTGCTGTTATAAATTATTCTTGGTTTTGTTTTTAAAACCATTCAGTAAATGTAAAAATTATTCTAGGCCTGAATAACATGCTGAGGGCTAAATTTGACCCATAGACCATGGATTGCCAGATGTTGGTTTATGTGATACTGTAATGCTTGGTAGCTTGAGGATGATCATTTGTCTTAAATCAGATCTTACTGTTATCTGTCAAAGAGTGTTCTCAGTCTTGAGAAGGAAAGATAGTTAGAGATTGAGTATTGAACTCCTGCCAGAACAGAGTAAGTAGCTTTGATTTCAGGTCTGTCTAATTTGCTCAAAGTCAGATTGAATTTTTTGTAATGATTACTTTTATTTTGATGATTTTTACGTAGTTGATTAGGGTGATAAGCGTCGAGGACTATAGGAAGGTGGGTGAGATTACCATTTCCACATTCTCTTTTTCCTTCCTGTGTCTGGTGGAAGAGGGGAGATAGGAGAGAAGCCACACCCAGCCTCCCAAATGCCTCTGCACCCTGGGATGGAGGACAGTCACCCAACACCACCCCAGGGTACCCCAACATTTGCCAGTGGGTGCTGTAGCCTAGCTGGGCCAGACCCACCCCAATTCCAGCTCACACTGGTGGGTGCCACAGCCTAGCCCAGCCCATCTGGCCCTCCATTTTGGTGCTCAGATTCATCAGTGGTTGATGTGGACTGGCCCAGCCTGGTTCACCCCTGACCTGTGCCAAATGTATGGCAGTGGTTACTGTTCCCTGTCCTGGTACTGGCTGCTTCCCTGTCATGGTTCTTGCGCTCACCTACAGGGATTGTGTCCTGACAGAGGGGTTGCCAAGCTCCTCCATCAGAACCTCACTCAATGCCAGTTCTCACACCCACCAGCCCTACTTATACTTAGTCCACCTCTTGCTTTAGCAGGAACAGTGGCCTTTCTTGACCAGCCGTCACCCATTCTGGTTTTTACTGTTGGGTGTTATAGCTTAGCCAACCCTGGTCCACACCCAGACACAGACACACATGACTTAGCAGGGGCAAAGACCTAGCCTAGCCCATTCCACACCTACCTACCTGCCTTGGTTTTCAAGAGCACCAGTTGGTGCTGGAATCTACCCCAATCTGGCACACCTCAGACCCAGTCCATATTTGTGTCAAGGGACACCCAGCCATGCCCAGGCTAGACAGCAGCCTCTACTCTGGCTTAGCACTCACCAGTGGGTGCCGCAACCCAGCTGGGGCACCCCTTTATACCCCAACCAGGCCTGTTTCCAGCCACAGATCTTGTGCATGCCAGTGGAGGCTGTGACCAAGTTTGGCATAGTCCCTTACCTGTCTTGGCCTTTGCCTTTGGTTGCTGTAGCCTGGACTGACCCAATCTGTCCCCAGTTCCAGTTCTCACTGGTGGGTGCTGGAACCTGACCCTGCTCAGTCTGCTGCCATCCCTAGCTCATGCAGACTAGTAGGTGTGACAGCCTAGCCCATCATGACCTGTGCTCCAGCCTGGTTTCTGCGATTGCTGGTGAGCTCAGGTTTGTTCAGCCTTTCCTGGTCTCAGTCCCCTCGCTTACCTGCAAGTACAATGGCATTGTCATTGGGAGTTCCTCAGGATTCATTCCTCACCTACTTGTATAGCAACATTATCCATGGATGTCTCTAAGTAGTAATTCCACACCCCCAAGATCCTAGAGCTCGCCGCCCACAAGTCAGGATTCTCCCACTGCTTGGCAGTGATGGCTGAACTTGGGCCCCAAGCATTGACCCCTACCTGGCTGAACCTCCCTGCAGCCACCGTGCTGTGGGGAGGTCGAACTCTCAAAGTCAGATTTAATTTAAATCCCTGCTCTACTCGAACTTGGAAAAGTTTAAATATTTCTTAATTTGCTCATCTGCAAAGTGGAAAATTGTGATGGTTAAATGATGATCTAAGCAAAGCCTTTTTTTTTTTTGTAAGATTTATTTATTTTTATTGGAAAGGCAGATATGCAGAGAGGAAGATCTTCCATCTGCTGATTGACTCCCCAAGTGGCTGCAATGGCCAGAGCTGAGCTGAGCTAGGAGCTTCTTCCAGGTCTCCCACACAGGTGCAGGGTCCCAAGGCTTTGGGTTGTCCTCAACTGCTTTCCCAGGCTGCAAGCAGGGAGCTGGATGGGAAGTGGGGTGGCCAGTACATGAGCTGGCACTCATATGGGATCCAGGTGCATGCAAGGAGAGGACTTTAGCCACTAGGCTACAGTGCTGGGTCCCTAAATAAAGCTTTTAGGACATCCTCTACTGCTTTCCCAGGCCAGATGCAGGGAGCTGGAAAGGAAGTGGAGCAGCCGGGACATGAACTGGTGCACATATAGGATCCTGGTGGTTGCAAGGTGAGGATGTAGCCAAGGAGCCTGTGTGCTCGGCCCAACTCTGTTTTTTGAATAAATCTTAAAAAAAAAAAAAACAACTCTCATATCCTTAGTTTTCAAGCATTGTGTGAGAAACATGCAGCAGTATTTTGTAGGTAATTGTGCTAGATTACAGTGCCATGAGCTTCATGTTTCTCATTTCATGCCAGTGAGTTTTGAAGGGGTTTGCGTAGTGGGGACAGGTATTTCTGAGCAAAGATCCTGCTTGGGTGTCGCATCCCACGTTGGAGTGCCTGCCTTTGCCTCTGCTTCCAGCTCCTGCTTCTTGCTAAAGACTACTCGGGCAGTGCTGGGACGGTGCGGCAGGACGATGGCCCAAGGAGTGTGGTCCCTGCCTCCCCGTTTCTCTTGGGCAGACTGAGTTCTGTCTGGCCTGGGCCGTGATGACAGAAGCGCATGGGGAGTAATCCAGCTGCTGGGGCTCTTGCTCGGTGTCTCAGCTTCTCAGGAATAAAACAGCCTTGCACATTGTGACCCCCAGGTCCGCTCCTAGCAAGGCCTGAAAAGCCTCTTCTCTAAAACTGATCTGTTCTGAAAGGCTGGATGGAGAGCGCTGGGAGAGCGAGGAGGCGAGAGCCACAGACACAGAGAGAGTCCACCCCCTGCTTCACTCCCCAAATGGCCCCAGCAACTGAGGCTGAGCCCAGCTGAAGTCAGGAGTCAAAATTCCATCCTGTTGTCACATAATGGGGGCAGGTACTTGAGCCCTCATTGGCTTGTTCCCTGGCATGTAAACAGGTAGCTGCATTTGAAGCAGAGTAAAAGCAGAACTTGTACTCTTAAAAGTGGCGGCTTAGCCTGTTGTGACACAACGCCCACCCCAAAGAGTTTCTTCTGGGAACTGAAAACATAGTTATGCTGGGTCTTGGTGGTAGTAGGTCAAAGGAAATTGTTTCTCTAAGAAAACCATTTTCTTCTAGTCTATTCATTCTCTCTGTTTTCCTTGAGTTCCTTGGTGCCTTGAGTTCTTTGGTACATCAACACGTTTAAAATTGCTGTAAAGGGAGATACTTAGCTAAATCTGTTTGATAGAAACAGTTCCCATGGTTTACTAAAAACTTCTGATTTTTAAAGGAGATGTATGCATTTGAAAGAGAAAGAGGGAGACAGAGAAATCTTAATCCATCCACTGGTTCATACCTTGAAAATGGCCAGGGATGGGCCAGGCCAAATCAGGTGCTTGGAACCGTGGGTCTGTAGCATGTGTGCTGGGTCCTAGACATCTGTTCTCTTAATCTTTGTAATGTCAGTAATGGTTGTCAAATTCCAAGTCAGAATCACTTGGGGGCACTTGATGAAACTGGGTGGGCTCTACCTCCAAAGTTGATCCTTAACTAGATCTGGGGCTGGCGTGATGGCTCAGTTGGCTAATCCTCTACCCAGAAGCAGTGGCTTCTCATATGGGCACTAGTTCTAGTCCTGGCTGTTCTACTTTTGACCCAACTCCCTAGTTGTATCCTGGGGAAGCAGGGGACGATGGCCCAAGTCCGTGGGTCCCTTCATGCAGATGCAGGACCTAGAGGAAGCTCCTGGCTCTTGGCTTTGGATTACCTCAGCTCTGGCCATTGCAGCCACTTGGGGAGTGAACTGGCAGATGGAAGATCTTTTTCTGTCAGTCTTGTATTGATATGGTGCTGATACACTGCTAAAGGAATTGTGCTTTAAGAACAGCTTGAAGCTGGGGTACACGTAGTGTGATTTTTCTTGATGACTCAGGGTCATTAAGTCTACAGAAGTATATTTGATTACCGAAATACAAGGTTCTTTGATATTGGCTTCATATCACCTTTTAAAAAGCAATTTTTTTTTTAGATTTTTATTTATTTATTGGAAAGTCAGATATACACAGAGGAGGAGAGACAGAGAGGAAGATCTTCTGTCTGATGATTCACTCCCCAAGTGAGTGCAACGGCCGATGCTATGCCGATCTGAAGCCAGGAGCCAGGAACTTCTTTCTGCGTCTCCACGCAGGTGCAGGGTCCCAAAGCTTTGGGCTGTCCTCAACTGCTTTCCCAGGCCACAAGCAGGGAGCTGGATGGGAAGTGGAGCTGCTGGGATCAGAACCGGTGCCCATATGGGATCCTGGTGCATTCAAGGCGAGGACTTTAGCCGCTAGGCCACACCGCCGGGCCCTAAATAACTATTTTATTGGGAAAATGGTTTTATGGAAAGAAAAATCTTCCATCTGCTGATTCACTCCCACAAATGGCTGCTATGCCTGATCTGAAATCAGAGGCTTGTTCTAGGTCTCTCGTGGGCGCCTTGACCATCCCGAGTGCCAAGGCGTTGGGCCGTCCTCCACTGCTTTTCCTGGCCATAAGCTGGGAGCCGGATGGGAAGTGGAGCAGCCGGGAACACAAAATGACACTGACGTGGGATTCTGAAGCATGCAATGCAAGGAGCATCCAGTTGAGCCATTGCACCAGGCCCTTATATCTACTTTATCCACATTTCATTTTACACTTGATGCTGTTATTCACTGTGCTGTTAGTTACTCATCTTTCTTACAGTACCAGGCTGCCCTGGGCTGAGACCAGAGGGGCTTGTTAAAATTTAGTTTTGCGAGGGATTGGCGCTTTGGCTCCACTGGCTTATCATCCACCCCTGAGTATCAGCTTTGCTTATAGGCACTGGTTGCTGTCCTCGTTGCTCCACTTCCCATCCAGTGCAGCTCCCTGCTTGTGGCCTGAGAAAGCAGCAGAGGGTGTCCCAAGTCTCTGGGACTCTGCACCAGTGTGGGAGACCTGCAGGAAGTTCCTGGCTGTTGGCCTTAGATAGCTCATTTCAGCTCCAAGCTTTAGGGCCATTTGGAGAGTAAAACAAAGGATGGAAGATCTCTCAGTAAGTCTACCCTTTCAAGAAAAAGTAAATTTTAAAAAAATTGGTGAGCTGGACATTGAGTTCAGCTTAAGCGAAGACACTAGTATCTTCGGGGCTTGGTTCTCAGTCCTGCTCCTCGCTCTAGTTCTCAGCACGTGCCGACCCCGGGAGGCAGTGGGAAGGATTCACATCCCAGCTTTGGTCCTGGCCTGGGCCTTTGTGAGACAAAATGGGAAGCTGCCTTCCTCTCTGCCTCTCAAGAACTATGAATTATTTTAGAGGACAGTTCTCTTAGTCCACTTTTCAATTTTTTCTGATTTTTCAGGACACCGGTGGTTAATTATCATGTCACATGGCTGGAGGTGCTGCAGAAGGGAAGGACAGATAGGAATTTCTAATATTTGTAGCTAAACCTCTTAACAGGTTCTCGAAAAACTTTATGCTTAATTCTCCCCATTGTGCTTTAGCCTAGCCTGCCACCAAATACCAAGAAAATGTGTTGATTTGTATTAAGTCTTTTCTTCAGCTACTTTATTTTTGTTTATGTTGGTTACCTTAGAGCCATAACAGAAAAGGAATGGCCAATTTGTATTTTTCAATAATTAGTATTCTAGAAATAGTGGCTTCATGTATTTGCTAGTGAGAGCTTTGTAGGTTTTTTTTTATGTATATAATGAAGAGCATTTATATGCTCCTCAGTTGTCTATGCCTTTTTGAGTAATGTGGAGATTACCATAATAGTATCGGGGATGTGTTGCATTTTTTTCTATTGGCAGTTTTTATTTAGATTTATTTATTTTCTCGTTTGAAAGACAGAGTTATAGAATCAGATCTTCTATCCCCTGCTTCACTCCGTAAATGACCATAATGGCTAAAGTTGAACCAGTGTCAAACCAGAAGCCAGGAATTTCAGGGTCTGCCTATGGGGTGCAGGGGCCTAACTACTTGGGACATCACCTACTGCTCTCCCAGGAATTTTATCAGGGAACTGGTTTGGAAGTGGAGCAGCAAGGACTGGAACTTGCGCCCCAATGGGGTGCTGGCTTTGCAGAATGAAGCTCAGTGTGCTATGTAGCTGGCTCCTGGCTGGGGTTTTAAAGGCCTCTTTGTCTTGAGTTTGATTTCAAAGTAGATTTATATATATGTATATTACGTTGGCCTTGCTGATTTTTTGTATTTGATGCTTTTTTCTCTTCTGTGACTTCCACTAAAGTGCCAAAACTTGGATATCTTACCTTTGTTTTTGATAGTTTTTTCTCATTATAATAACATTAACGGTGTGCTTCTTTTATACTTGAAGATTGAGAAGTATTTTCATATGATTTCGTTTTATTATTTTTTCTAATTAGAAAGTCAGATATACAGAGGAAAGACGGAGATGAAGATCTTCTGTTTGTTTATTCACTCCCCAAGCTGCCTCAGCAACCATAGCTGCACCAATCCAAAGCCAGGAGCCAGGAGCTTCTTCCGGGTCTCCCATGTGGGTTGCAGGGTCCCAAGTCTTTGTACTGTCAACTGTCCTAGTCTGCTTTCTCAGGCCACAAGCAGGGAGCTATAGCCACTAGGCTACTGTGCTGTGCCCAATTTCATTTTATTTTGATTTCTATTTTAAAAATTCAATTAATTAAATTTTAATTTGATGATACAGTTCCATAGGCTCTGAGATTTCCCTTTCCCCCCACATTTCAATTTTTTAACTTTTTTTGGAAAGGCAGATTGAAGCAGAGGATGGTCCAAAGCCTTGGACCCTTCACCCACATGGGAGATCTGGAAGAGGCTCCTAGCTCCTGGGTCCGTATCAGCACAGCTCCAGCCACTGTGGCCACGTCGGGCATGAACCAATGGATGGAAGATCTTTTCTCCTCTTAAATTTTAAGAAGTGAGAGAGAAGCAGACAAAGATCTTTCAATCACTGTTCACTCCCTAAGTGGTTGCATGAGGCAGGAGCTTTTTCCGGGTTCTCCAATGGTAGTATGGTCCCAAGGCCTCGGGCCATCCTTCACTCCTTTTCCAGTTTGTTGCCTGTGTGGGATGCCAGGACTGGTTAGAGGATTAGTCAGTTAAGCCAGTGTGCCAGCTCCGTGTGTGTTCTTTATTCAGAGTAAATCACACTTGGGGGAGTATTGAGATTTTATCATAAATTCTGGCAGTCCTAAAGCCATCCTTCTCACTCTGTCAGAGAGAGATTATAGCAGTGGTTGGACTTGACTCTTGTCTGTCTTATCCATCAAGTGAGCATGTTGATTCTGATTTGATCAGGTTGATTTGAGGAGTAAATCGAGTAGTCTTAATTGCTTAGAAACTGTCTGGCACACAGCAAATCTGTAGTAATGGTTAAGACTCATTTACTGTATCACTTTTTACCTTTCAAAAGTCATAAGAATAAAGGTGATTCCTCAGATTTTTATGAAAGTTCACCATCAGAAAAGGTCTTGGCTTTTTTTTCTTGTTATTTTTCTGTCTTTCTAAAGCTATGTTTCTATTTGTCTAAATTTTTGTTTCTTAAAGAATGTATAGTAAAAATGATTGTTGAATGTGTTGCTTATTTTTCCTGTTAATATACTGGATAAAACTGTGTGACTTTTCTCTGAGATTGACATTTATTGCATACTTTATTACTAAAGAAAAAACTGCACATTTGATGGCCTGTAGATATGCTAGAATAATAATGAATATTTGGGCAATTATTCCTTCATAAATGTGTGTAGAAGAAGGAAAGTGAGAATTCTGAATTTTTTAAATTAATATTATATCATTAATCTCAGTGACCAGCAGTTGTGTTTTGCTTGGCATGACTTTTTGTAAATATGTAGTGAAAAAGATAAATTTCTAAAATGGTTTTTTCTCGCCTCGTCAACAGGGCATTCTCAGCAGGGTTACAGAATCTGTGAAGAACATTGTACCAGGGTGGCTACAGAGATACTTCAACAAAGCTGAAGATGCGTGCAGCTGTTCAGCAAACACAAGCGGGGTGCCGCATTGGCCCGAAAATACAGAAAATGATCATATGATATATGCCAACGAGGAGAACTCTAACATCAGTGATGGCAGACTCACTCCTGAGCCAACAGTCAGTAATACAGAAGGTAAGTAGAATGTGGCTATTTTGTTAAGAATGATAATTTTCATGCTCTAGTTTTAAATATATTACCTAGGCTATGGTAAATCTAATGAAATGATACAAAAATCTTTTCAAAAGAAAGTGATTGCGATTGCAAATTACAAACTTGGATGTCTTTTAGTTATCAAAGAATGCTGAGATACACACCTGCTAGTTAAGACTAATTTAGGATGCAGCAAGTTAAGCCACTGCTTTGAATATTGGTATCCTGTATTAGAGCACCACTTTAACTCCCATGCTACCCTACTTCAGATCCACTCCCTGCTCACACCTGGAAAAGCAGTGGAGGATGGGAAATCCAGATGGGGTTCCAGGCCCCTGCTTTCTGCCTGGACCAGCTGCTGCCATTGTGGCTTTTGGGAGCGTGAACAACAAGTAGATGTTCTCTTTTCTTTTTCGCTCTCTTCCTTCCCCCACCTCCTGTTCTTCTCCCTCCCACTGTGTTACCCTTTCAGATAAGCTTAGAGGTACAGCTTCTGGTGGTAGATTTTGAATTTTCAGAAAGTCATTGACTTTCTGCAAGGTGATATATTTTCTCCTCTGTACCTTCATCCATTGTTTTTGTAGGTGTTAATTGTGAAGCCCTTAGAATGGATTCTGGTAAAGCACTGTATAATTTTATTTTGTAAGGTTTCTTTTTATTGGAAAAGCAGATTAATGGTGAGAAAGAGAGACCAAGCAATATCCTCTCTTTCTGTAAATCTGATCTGTCCAATAAAAATTAGAAAAATCTTTGTGTCTCCTTTATAAATCTGGCCTGCCTTTCCAATAAAAATAAATAAATCTCAGGACGGTGTATAGTTCAGACGTCTTTTGTGTTTGTGCAGTTGTATAACCATAAGCAACACTAGTTTTTACAACATTTTTTCTCACCTTACAAAGAAGTCCCAGGGCTGTAGTCCCTTCTATAGTATGCTGTAGATGTCACTTTTTTTTTTAAGATTTATTTATTTTTATGGGAAAGGCAGATATGCAGAGAAGGAGAGACAGAAAGGAAGATCTTCTGTCTCATGGTTCCAATGACTGGAGCCAGCCAATCCGAAGCCAGGAGCCAGGAGCTTCTTCCAGGATTCCTGTGCAAGTGCAGGGTCCCAAAGCTTTGGGTTTTCCTCGACTGCTTTCCCAGGCCACAAATAGGGAGCTAGATGGGAAATGGGGCTGCCAGGATTAGAACCGACGCCCATATGGGATCCCAATATGTTCAAGGCAAGAACTTTAATCGCTATGTTATTGCACCGGACCCAGATGTCACTTCTTTGCCTCGATGCCTGGCAACCATTTATCTACTTTCCATCTCTGAGTTGTCTGTCAGGACATTTCCTATAAATGGATTGGAATGATACAGTAAATGGCTTCTGTGACTGACGTCTTACTCTTAGCACAGTGTTTTCACAGTTCACCTCTATTGTAGCATGTAACAACTTATTTTTTTAATGGCTTATTTATTTGAAAGGTAGAGTTGTGGAAACAGGGAGACAAGAGATTGATCTTCCATGTGCTGCTTCACTCTCTAAGTGGTCACCTTGGCAAAGGCTTGGTCAAGCAGCATCATCTGGGTGTCCCACATGGCTGCGGGGGCACAAGCACGTCTACCGTCTGCTCTCCCAGGAGCGTTGACAGGGAGCAGTTAGGACGCTGGCTTAGCGTGCTGATTCACCCTGCAGACCTTATTCCTGCTTATTTTGTTGGATGATACTTGACTGTATGGATAAACTACACTTTACCCATTTATCAGTGGGAATTTAGGTCACTTTCAATTAAATTTGTATTTGTGTATAGATTTTTTTAGGGGGAAAGTTTTATTGGGAATGCGAAACAACAGAGGGAGAAACCTAGAAAAAGATGTTCCCAATCTGTTGTTTCCTTTCTCGCATGATTGCAGTAGCAAGGTCTGGGCAGGCTGAAGCCAACAACCAGAAACTCCCTGTGGGTGTGTGACAGGAATGGCATGAGCCACAACACTAGGGCATCATTTTCTGCCTTTCCAGTCTATTGGCTGGCAACTGACTGGGCCAGAAGCAGAGTAGCTGGGACTCAGGTGGCACTGGGATGGGGGTCAGTAGTGTTAAAAGCAACAGCTTAACCTGCTGCCCTACAAATGCCAGTTGCTCTTACTGGAATTCTGTGTTGAACATGGCTACACTTCTTACCTTCTCACTAGCAGTGTTCGAGGATTCCAGTTTTTTAATATCCTAACCAGTACTAGTATGTATTTTCAGTTTGTTTTGATTGTAGCTATAATAGTGGGTACAGTGGTTTTAAATTTTGATTTACGTTTTCCAGATGACTAATAAGGAGCATCTTTTAAAGTTCTTTTGACAGTTTGTTTATATTTGATAAAAGCTAGTCATATCCCCTTTTCTATTTTTTTATTGTATTACTTATGTTCTTGAATTGCAAAAGATCTTTATATGTTCTAGAAAGAAGTGCCTTATCAGTGCATAATTTGCAGGTCCTTCCATTCTCTGAGTTTTTTCACCTTGATAGTGTCCTTTAAATGTTTTAAAGAAGTTTTTAATTTTGATGAATTCTGATTTTGCTCTCCTTAAAGATTTATTTATTTTGTCCTTTCTTAACATGCTTGACACATTCACAGCGTATTTTCTAGCTTTTATGTTAGGTCTTAAAGTGAATTGAACTTGAATAATTTCAGAGAAATGACAGATCTAAGATATTTTAGTATTAGCTCAATTTGGCATAAACTAGTTTTAAGTGTAAGATTCATGATGAATTTCTGATTTTTTATCTGTCAAGTTCAGTTTTTGGTATGTCTATTTCCATCAAACAAAGGATACTGTTTCTTTTCCAGAGTGAATTTGAACTCATATTTTGTCATTAAATTTATAACTTAGCTTTATGGCTATGTATATTTTACATACCTTTGTAACTTCTGCAATTACTTACAAAATTTCCAACTACAGAAGTGGAGAGGATGGGAACAGTGAACACCTGGCTTCCACAACACTCAGCTTATGCTCAGCTTACACCCGATGTTTTCTGTGTTCTCAAACCTAGTTGCCTCTCGCCTCAATTCCCCGATTGTAGGGGAGGAAATGGAGGGCAGCTTTTTGAATCCTGTTTCGAAAGCTTGATGGTTTTTCCTCCTGCTCTGATCTTCGTTTTGAGTCCTACTACTGAGTCTCTGGCAGTTCTTAGAGCCTGCCTTGACCTTTCTCCAAGTATTTATGTAATATCTTCAATCACACATAGTGTGTGACTTAACATGCCACCAAGTAAGATGACAAAAGCGGTAGTAGATGTATGAACATTTAAAGTAGATTCTCAAGAGAACTTAAAAAGATGTTACTTACTATTGAAGGTAGTGTTAAGGGAAGCAAAAATATATTCAGGATCACCTGAAATGTTTCGCTGCGTGTAAGAAGGTCGCTTTGATTTTAATAGTAACATTGGGCTGGAGAGTATTGAGCAGTCAAGTAGCCCAGTGCAGTGACAACAGAGTCTGGTCTTGCCAACAGCTTTCTACCCGGGTATCTCCTTTCTTAATTATCTTAATAATGGTGAACCATTGGATGCCTTTATTTTTTTCTGCTCAGTTAGTAGAATAGACTTTTGGGGGTCCCTGGGTGGGGGCACCAGGACCCGAGGTGTGGCATCCGCACTGTGAAGAATCGGGACACAGGGGATGCAAAGGTAAATGAACCAACGCACACTTTACTGAGCTTTTCTGGGCACTTTATACAAGAACTTTTACTGGGCAGGCAGGTAAAAGTTACTTGTTAACTGAACAATAGCTGGCAAGCCCCTCTAAAGATAGATCACATGGAATTTGGGAAACAGTCACCAGGCTTCAGGCAGCAGCACAGCAAACAGGAGTTACAGGAACCGGATTAACAGGGGAGGGGATGTAAAGGAGAGACAGTGAGCTGCTTCACTCCCCAGCCATGCTCCCAACAGGAAGGGCTTCCTGGCCGCACTCTCAGTCTGCTGAGCATGTGTCAGACTATGTGGGAGGGGATGGAGTGGAGGAGCTTGCTCCTCGTCTTCGGATTACCTCAGCATCTGGGGATGGAGATTGATGTGGCCTGAGAGACCCCACTGTGGGGAGGAGAGATGTCATCTTTGTTGCACCAAGATTGAGAAAATGTTTCTAAGGTCTGTTGGCTGACCAAGTTTACTTCAGTATATCCTATGATTTTTCCCTGTGGCCAGGAGTGAGTTTAGAGGTCTAGTCAGGTAGTCCCCCAAGAAATCTCACCTGGGGTGACCGCAAACTTAATTCTTGTGTGCACCAGCTAGTGCGGTTGGAGCTGAGCCATTCTGAAGCCAGGAGCCTGGAGCCTCTTCCAGGTTTCCCACGCGGATGCAGGGTCCCAAAGCCTTGAGCCATCCTCGACTGCTTTCCCAGGCCATAAGCAGGGAGCTGGATGGGAAGTGGGGCTGCTGGGATTAGAACTGGCACCTGTATGGGATCCCTTTGTGTTCAAGGTGAGAACTTTTAACCACTACGCTCACACCAGGCCCTCTTCTACAGTTTTTAAACGTTCTATATCTAGCAGATCCATCAATCGCTAGAAAACTGTCTTACCAACATCTGTATGATAAGCTAATATGGGCATGAGAGAAAGAATGGAATAAATACAAAATGCTTTAATGACATATGGCTGTTAGATCTATTTACTTTTATTGGAGAGACAGATATACAAAAAGGAAGAGATACAGAGGAAGCTCTTCCATCCGCTGGTTCATTCCCCAGTTGGCTGGAGCTAAGCCAATCCAAAGTCAGGAGCCCAGAGCCTCTTCGGCATCTCCGATGCAGATTCAGGGTCCCAAGGCTTTGGGCAGTCATCTGTTGCTTTCCCAGGCCTTAGTTAGGGAGCTGGAAGAGAAGTTGGGTAGCCAGCATATGAACTGGTGCAGCCAATGCTGCAGCAAAGCCAGACCAGCCAGCACTTACTCTGTCTTATCCCATGTACCAGTGGATACGGTTACTTAGCCCAGCATGGC